TTCTTTTATTATGTTACTGTCAACATATCAAGAAAATCTAGTTCTTCAATTTTAATGACTAATCTAGTTCATCATTTTGAAACCTGTTCTGAATCACTTTGTGTTCTCTGGCTTAAGAAGAAAGCTTCCTTAATCGTTGATGAAAGCACTTCCTTTTTCCTGATAACTACATCTCAATAAATAAATAAGTTAATAAAAGAAAAAGAACTGAAGTTCCCTGCTTTGGATAGTAATCTGTGCCAGGAGCAGGGACCTTTGATCTTTCCCCCAAGGCGAGCAAGCATTTTCTATTTTCTTTTTTCTTTTTTGGCCTGATATTTTCAACTGGAAAATTAGCTCTCTAGAAGAAGCATGATCACAGCTTTCTCTGATATTCGTAACTTCCTATGTCAGATGTAATTTTGAAGTAAAAGGATCTAAATGCAGTACTTATACTTACTATCATTTCTTACACAAACTCGAAGTAGGATTAATGGTTGCTAAAAATCACAAAGCAAAAGTGCATGAACCATTAGCAGCCAACTTTTTCAGCTTATACGGGATGCACCACTTCCAGAATTTAAAAAATTAGTATCAGCCCGTAACTAAGCTACTCCTATTTAGTAGGACAGATGTCAAACTTTTATACTGATCTTAAGATTTAAGGAATCCCTATATGGAAAATGTGGTTCCCTAGCAGCTTAATACACCTGTTTGCACAAAAAGATCCACGTTCTCCTCAAAAAGGAAATCAAGAAATAATAAATAAATTCAGGTACTGTTCACTTTTTGTGGGGGTTGAGAGGAGGTGATTTAAAAGAATTGGATTTGTGGTCTTGCAGCTGATCTTTGGGAATGTGCGATGTGATAATATCTCAAATTTCTTGCTTTTGAAGAATTAAAAGCTTACTTTTTTTCAAGAACATAATGCACATGAAGAAAAAAATCAGCATAATCATGCATATAAAGAGTACTTCTTAAAAAAAGTATGAGCATATAAAGAGTGTCTCTAGGAGTTATTAAGCTCAAAAGTTTCTATTTTTCTTATATTTCTCCTTGAAAAGGGCCCTGTTTAAGTACCTTGATGGTTTGTTAGGCTTTCAGTACGTATTGCTGACTCTGCACAGATCATTAACAGTTGAAGATAGCTGGTAGTGCTTACTCTGCACAACTTATTCTATATATGCTAGAAAAAAGTTGTATAAAATGCTCTATTATATGATATGCTCTGATGAGATTGTAAGTGACCTATGCTCATCATTTATTTGATGATGAGCCTTTTGTGAATACACAGTTACCTTTATCTCAAAAAAAATAAAATGCTCTATTATATATTCTGTGACTTAGATATGGACCAGCACATTGCAAAGAACAATTTTGACAGCTAGTCCAATTGCTGGGTTTCCCAAGGTTAGCTTGTTGAACCATCGTGTGTTTGTTTGTTTTAAATCATGTCTTTAACTCTCCTGAAGTAAGGTTCTTCCTTTTCCCTCACTCCCTCTTCAGATACAATGGCGAGCCCTTGATGAAATAAATGCTGGTGTATGTGATGGGATGACTTATGAAGAAATAAAGAAAAATATGCCCGAAGAATATGAGTATGCTATAACTCTTCTTTACCTTTCGCAATGCAAGCTTATCCATTTGTTTGTGACCTAGTAGGATTTTATCCAAGTAGAATTTCTGTGGTGTTTATAGGAACAGTCAGCAAACTATGAACACATACTGAAGGGAAGATATGCCTCATCAGCTACAGAAAAGTGATTACTAAGACAGAGAATTGACCACAGAGTCTGTTTGGTGTCTAATTAACGAGCTTAATTTGATTAGTTGCCCCAGTGGCATAGTTCTTTCTTTTTTCAGTATCTATCTGTAAGTCAGTTACCAGATAAAAAATCTGAGAAGATCTATAGGCATTTATTCTAGCTGATAAGGATCTGAATCAACGGGTGTTGAAAATCAACTGGATTGAACTGCTTTGAAATGTAGTTAGAGTTGGAAAAGGTCTTCCGTGATGGCAAGACCATCACCTTTCCTAGTTTGGGAATTCGTTGAACAACTGATGAAAGACTCATATATGGAGTAAAGACATCTCCTTGGAAATCATAGGGTTTTTCTGCTTCATTATGTTCTAACTGGCTGTGTGATTTACTCTTTCTCTTCGCATGTTTTCATAGTAGTGTGTTGCTTCCTTGTGAGAAGAAATGAATCCACCATTCTCCTGTAGTGAATACACTATTGAACAACACTGTATTCTTTTAAAAAAAATATTAATTGGTATGTCAAATTGCTTGTTACTTATTTATACATACAGGTCACGCAAAAAGGACAAGCTGAGGTATAGATACCCTAGAGGCGAATCTTATCTTGATGTCATACAAAGGTTTGTTATTTAACCCTTTAAATTGAAAGGTTTGGTACTTTCAATACATTAAATTTAGAATCCTTCATTTTTCTCATTTTGTTCTAATTAACATTCAACATGTTGCAGGTTGGAGCCGGTGATTATCGAGCTTGAAAGACAAAGAGCACCAGTGGTGGTGGTATCTCACCAGGTTGGTAAATGTTGCTGAAGCATTAAAATATCTCGCTTTTCCATGCCAATAAAGCACGTGCATGACTTCAAATTGTCTCTTTCTAAAATTTTTTGTAGGCCGTATTGAGGGCTTTGTATGCTTATTTTGCTGATAGGCCTTTGAGTGAAATTCCACACATAGAGGTAATTACTTGATCTTGCGTGTGAAGACTTTGAAGAGGATCATTATATTATATTCCACAATGAATGGGGATACATATCTATTTGTGCTAATTTGGTAGTTAAAGCATAGTGAACATATCTTCTAGACATGAAAATGATATTTATCTTCTTTGGGCAAGCTGCGGAGTTACTTTTCCTTTCTTTCATTCCATCTGTCTTGCTTGAATTAGTTAATTAAGTTGCTGAAAGAAACGAAGTTCATTAAGGCTCCTCTATGACACCCTGGTTTAAATAAGGGTAGATAAGGCACTGACATGATTCTAAAAAAAGAGGTTGAGCATACAACTTTCATTATTGGTGTTATCTTTTGGGTTGTTTGGTATGAAGAAAAATATTTCTAGGAAAATGTTTTCTAAAAAATAAATCATTTCCTGGCAACAGAATACCAATGAAAAATGTATTTCATTAAAGAGGGAGAAAACAAACTTTCCTCGCTTATGTATAACTCTGATGGTTCATTTGGAATAGTTTTAAAATTTTAGAGAGTGTTGGATAGTGAGACAGTTTCTTCTGGAAAATGATTTCCGGAAAATACATTTTCTGGGAAATATTTCCGTTCATACCAAAAACATCCATTACTCATCATTTAATCAGGAAAATGGCCTTGAAGTTGGAAGTGTCTGCTGATCATTTATAGGCTTAATGCATAACAGTCCCTTAAACTTGTGAGTAAATTTCATTTAAACACTGGAACTACAGCTTGTTCAATGAAATTTACAAAAGTTCAAGACTATTGATATATTAAAGCCATACATATGCATTCTAATGGCTGGAAGACGAGGCAAAGTTTTGTAGTGGCTATAGCCGTATAGGTGATGGTTTCTGCATTTATGCTTTGTGCAATTTTATGTGGTGAACTTTGAACAAGTCGAAAGATCCATTTATTGTACCCTTGTCCTTGTTAAACTTGCAGATGCCACTTCACACAATCATAGAGATACAAATGGGGGTTACAGGAGTACAGGAGAAGAGATACAAACTGATGTAGGTCATTGCAACTTGACTTTCTAATACGTATATGCAGCAATTCTCTCATTCAAATTGTAGCAACTGATACCCAAAAAATTGTATATCGACGAGTGTTTGACATCAAAGTGTATCAATTTGAAGGCTTCATCTTCTTCTTATTCTGCATTCTCCGATCCCTTCTTCTCTCTTTTTTTAAGTCTCTTAATTTCTTTGTGATTTCGCGAAGGATTCATACTATTGTCGTTTTGAAGATGATAAATTTAAGGGAAAAGGATTGAAAATACACCTCAACTTTGGTTTATTGTTTGACTTTACCCTCGCCATTAAAATGAAGTTAATTTTACCCCTCCCGTTATTAATTTCACCAAATTTACCCCTCATTAAACGGAATCCCCCAAATTGATCCAAATTACCCGAATTTAAAAAAAAAAACCCTATTTCCTATTTTTAACCCAATGCCGTGCCCCATTTAGAATAACCCGGTTAACCCTATTTTACCCATTTACCCATTCTCTCTTTGAATAGATAATCTCCTTTTTCTCCCAAATTTTCCATATAACCCAAATAGAGAATGGGTAAATGGGTAAAGGAAATTTGGGAGAATGGGTAAAATAGGGTTAATCGGGTTATTCTAAATGGGGTGGGGCATTGGGTTAAAAATAGGAAATAGGGTTTTTTTTTTAAATCGGGTAATTTTGGTTAATTTGGGTCAATTTTGGGGATTTCGTTTAATGAGGGGTAAATTTGGTGAAATTAATAACGGAAGGGGTAAAATTAACTTCATTTTAACGGCGAGGGTAAAGTCAAACAATAAACCAAAGTTGAGGGATATTTTTAATCCTTTTCCCTAAATTTAAATATCTACTTCGCCCTTCTCCAAATTCACATAGACATTTAAAGTGTCATAAGTAGCAAGATTAAATTTATTTTCAACTTTGCCTATAATCCTACTATTGAATCTTGAAGTTATCTATGTTTCTTACTTCTTAATTAGCCAAAAGAAAAAAACTGATTTATGTTTTATGTTCAATGCATTGACAGTTTGACACTATAAAGAATTTGTTAACTATCAGGTTAAGTTGACCTATAATAACGCGCAACTCTATATATCAATCATAATATAATAATCTAGAGATCTAATATAGTGACAACTTGCTATACTCAGTTAACTAGCACTAATATCAAATCAATAAGAGGATTCTACAAGTTGGGATAGTACAACTCGTAAAATTACAAAAGAAATAAAATACACTCCATTTGATGGTCAATACTTTTTCATTCTTGATGGAAGCAATCATGCAACGACTTCTGAACTTGTAATAGATGAGTTGAGATGAAGAGAAGCTCGGCATAAAGGACAATTTGAGTGACCAATTAGCCATTTATCAATACATTGAGCATGATATACATGTTCACAGTAAGGCAATAACTTAACCATTTCATCAGCTCCAAATAATCCCAAACAAATTGGGCACTCATCACTTCTTTGAACACTATCTAACTTACATATTGTCTCACCAAATAAGAAAACAGGCAGCTTTTGAATAGTTTCTTCATCAAGTCCCTTGTTGATTTGTACCAAAACTGCATTTGCATCTGGTGGTGAGCTCAATATTTCACTAGAAAAGAGGTTAAATTTACAATCAAAATAGAAGAAAAAGAAGGCAACAAGTAATACTAAGATGAAGAAAAAAATAATTGAAAGGCCATGGTTTTGGAAATGTGAGGTTATTAATTTGAGGTCACTGAAGTACCAGTTTGAAGTTTGAGTATCTTGTAAAGACATGACCAGTTGATCAATAACGAGCAACTCAAATAATGGAAGTGGGAAAAAAGTAGAGACAATTCTGCTGCCTAGCTACTTATTAATACTCTCTTCCTCTGTCTCAATTTATGTGTCTTAGTTTGACTGAGCACAAAGTTTTAGAAATAAATGAAGATTTTTTTAATCTCGTGATCTTAAATTAAAGATGTGTGTAGTCTTTTAAATCTTGTTGTAGTACTATTAAACTTGTCACGTAGAATGTTAGAATTGAAAAACTTACTAAATATAAAAATGACATATTTGTAGGCAAATCAAAAAGAAAAGTAAGACATTTAGATTGAGACGGAAGGAATACTGTTGACAGATGGAGAAAAAATATAACTACAAACGCGAATTTCAAATGGACAGCTCCATCAGAATGTCATTAGAAATATGGCATATCCGAGGAGAAATCCGTTCTATGTTAAATTCATTAAAATTTAGATGAATTTGAGATTCTAAATTCATAATGGTTAGAAGCTAAAGTTTAAACCAAGTAAATTTAACTCCTAAATTTGTCTATATTATGCCATTATATTACTATTATATATGGATCAAACCGTTTGTAGTCTTTTTAACTTCTATATTGTAACAATAAAAACGAATATTATCAAATTGCTTACTAAAAGAAATGTATAAGTAATTCTCAGCAGACAGCAGTAGGTGAAATTAATAATCTGAAAATTAAGACAGATAATCTTTTATATTTAAATTATTTTAAATCACATAGTAGCAATAAATCCAACAGCCAACTCCCTCTCTTTGTTTAGGAAAAAAAAAGAAGAAGAGTAATTAAACTCACTCTCTTTGAGTTGGTTTACTGCATTGTCAACTGTTTCATTTATTTTCAGTAGCAGCAATAAGGCCCATTGCCCATACACCATGGATTCAAATAATAAAAAATAAATAAGTATCACAATTTTTTATTTTTTTAAAAAGTGGTCAGGATTGAAAATTGAGGAAGTAAATGCTAAAATCATTATTAATATGGATAAATAGAACCTCATAAAATGGACAATGGAACAGATTTCTTAGTTTTCTTACCCAACTTAAAGATATAGAATAATTATAAGTAAATTTTGTAAAAAATGAAATTTCATTGTAAAACATGTTTGAAGGTCTCCCAAACAAAGAAATAGTGAAAATTGGAATCATTGTAATTTTTAATTTGCACAAAATGAATCTTTACATGGCGATCTAAAAAGTTCATAAATAATATGACAAGTATGGGCCAAACCTTATGGTCCTCTATTTTAAAAGGGAAACTTATATAAATATACACATTCAAAAAATATTTACCATTTATAGCAATAACATTTTTTTCTCATTTGATCAGTTTTAATACATTTATAATACAATTTTAATACATATTACAAAGAACAATTTATTATTCACATATAATACAAGTTTTATTGATGGATCACATATTTTATACACTTATAATACACTGTGTCAATTTTTTACCAATCAAGCATAATATATTTTAAAAAAACAATTATAATACATATATATTGCATACCTAATTCACTTTTGTTACATAGCAATTTTAACATAGTATTGCTAAAAATGGTACTAATAAATAAAAAGTATTGTTAAAATCAGTAATTATTTATTAAAAAAATACCCTTCCAAGTAATTTTTCCTCAAAATATGGGTCGTTCAAAGTCTTGGACTCGGCCCAATAGATAACAGAGCCCATTAGTGGTACTTAATAATGAAACCTGGTAAGTAGAAAGTCCCACATCGAAGCGCATACGAAGAACAGAGAGGCTAGAAGGAATATATAAAGCGCTCCTTCATTTCTGTTATACTCACGCAGCCACGCAATGAACACATAGCGAACTATTCTTTCGCCTTTTACTAAAGAATACCGTGTGTGCGTTGCAAATAGTGGCATACGCCAATTTTTGGAGGGATTCTCTCTACTGAGGATCCCAACAATTCTAGTTATAATCTTTTTTCAGTGAATTTGGGTAATTTCCTGCACATAATATAACCCTAACCCTAAGAAGTTTAAAAAATTAAATATCTAGTCTGGTTGAGCCATTTTTGTGTCAGTTTAGTGTTGGATGGGGAGGGGGTGGGTAGGCAGAGTTTGGGAGACATTTTGAGGCCATGTGTATCTAGCGGACATTGGTTCATGTTATTATCAAGTCATAGGCTCATCAAAGCATGTAGTATTTTACTTCGTTACATGGGTCATGTTATTATCAGTTCAATTGTACTAAGAATGGAACCCCAAACTTGCTAAAGAAGGCATTAGCTTTGAACTAGAATATTGAGGCAGGCAGTGAGATCTCCTTTACAATGCTGTTAATCTCTACTAAACTAATGCTATTCATCTCTCTTGTGAAAGTCAATGTGTACTATAAACCATTTGTATGGGAAACCCATGTTTTCATACAGTTATTATCTAACCATACTATGAGCAGCATCTGCGTTGTATGACGAACCAGTACAGCTACTTCCACCAGCTCCTCTTATGGCACGAAAGGATGCAACAACAGTGGGTTGTCTTCTCAGTTCAATCCTTCACCTGAAGATGAATCAGCCCCCACCACTGCATCCATCCAAGGCCATGTCACAAGTCTTCTAAGGAGCCATTTGAGTACTCATGACCTGAAACACCGGAACTTCCATTTGGTAATCGACTCGTGCTGGTGGGAGTTGAATAAGGGGAGTAGGTTGAAGCAGAACTGCCTCGTGTATATCGGTTCTGAGCAGTGCTACTTCTTGTTGCCTTAAGACGGGCCTTCCTCCCCTGAGGCCAAGTGCATACAAGTATTAATAGAAAATAATTTGGATCAACTGATGAGAGGTAATTTGAGACTGGCTACTGAAATAGAAAAATAATATACCTTTCCCATGCATTTCTCCAAGTGAGGAGCAAATCGCCCAGCCATGATAGATCTGCCACAATTCATACATTCAAATATTTCAGTTGCAACAGGAGGATGGGTTTGCCCAAATATATCTACGACATATTTGCCATTTGTTTCACTACTGTTGCTAGGATCAGCTACTGTTGCCCGGGCTTGTGCAGACAACCGAAGTTCTTCCTCCTCTTCTTCTAAATTACGATCAAGGCCTAGTTTCGCTACGCGGTGACACTCAGATGCAACATCAGTAATGATGGAATCAAGAAGCTCATCAAAAACATGAGCGGACAACTGCACATGGATCACAAAGCAGACTAATAGTCAAATATCAACAAGAATCACAAAGCAGACTAATAGTCAAATATCAACAAGAAAAGCCTGAAGTAGAATACAGTAAATTGACCCATATACAAGATATTCTAACTGTAAACAACATAGGGGAACTGAGCTTAAATAAGGAGTGCCACACCCCTGCCTCCAAACCCCGAGGCCCACCTTTGATCATCAATGGGAATAAGGGCAGGAACAGTCTATATCCAGAAATTTAAGAGTAAAGTAAACATAAAAACAAAAACCATATGCAATCAATAGAAAAGCTGGGAAAGACGAGAACAAGCATGCTTGCCCACACGAAGAAGAAACAATGGAGTCAAATAATAGCAAGATTCTACTAATTGCCTTCAGAAACAACTGATGCATACAATTCACTATAGCAATTAAGCAAGATAACCAGCAAATATAAGTTTCTGGTTTCATTTAAGATGTGGGTTACTTGTGGTTGAGAGATGTTATCCTCATTTGATGCCGACATGAATCTCTCCTCAGAAATCAATGAACAATAAAATCCACACCACAAGGTTCGGCACAAGAAAAAAACCTGCAACCTAGATAGACAACAACAGAACATGATCAAGAAGAGAATAGGAGAAAAATATAAAATAAAATACAAACAACAACTATGTCACATGCCCAAACAAGTTGGATTCATGATTTTTCTCTAGTTAATGTGTAAAGGAAAAATAAGTTTACAAATTTAGCTGGCTATATCATCTTCTTGATTTTATAGATACATTACTACACTACAACAACAACAACATATCCGGTGTAATCCCACAAGTGAGATTTAGGAGGGTAGAGTGTACGCTGACCTTACCCCTACCTTGGGAGTGGGAGAGGTTGTTTCTGATAGACTCTCCGCTTAAGGAAACACATAACGGAAATAAAGAGAAGATCATGGCAAAATACTATAGAAAACATGACAAAGTAATGCGATAACCAAAGTACAAGAGATAGGAACAAAATTTGAAGGACAAGAAACTACCAGAGAAACAGTACGAGTTTACGACTACCGGAATGAAAGGATAAGCATGACAATGCTTTATCACCTAACCTCCTAACCTAAGTCATGTCCTCCATAACCTCCAATCTAACATCATATCTTCAGATTGTGTCATATACATACTATATGAGAAATGAAAATACAATCTTAACAAACAAATGGATTCGTGATTTTCTCGAGTTACATGCTCTCATCATTATGATAAAGTCTGACTAGTGAACAGCAGCACTAGCACATTACCAACAACTAAATTTGCAACAGATTTGAAGATTCCAAACCAAGTATCAATGAAAAAAACATAGACATCCTTTTTATTCCCAGCTCAATGAAGCTACTTCAGTTCATACAAACTTAATCCATCGGCTGGATTTCATTTCGATTAATTTAGAAGTTTAAAGTCGATCTCAACCATGATCAAGCATCAATCAATAAAATCTTAATTCCAAACTAATTTAATCAAACTGTTCCACATCCGATCTGCAATTTTCCGATTAAAATCCCTGCCAAATCTAGTAAACGTATGCAATAAACTTACACCAAAACGTAAAGAAAAAACTTACAGATCGAGAAAGAAGATTGTTCCTTCAACAGAGAGGAGTTGGGAATTTCGTACCTGAATTTGGGAACAGGGGCAGAAGGGACGATGGGCTTCAGTGTTCGGGTCGGGTCGGGAATTTGGAGCTCTACGGTCAGCTACTTTGTAAACTGCCTCGTGTAGTATTTTGATAGGCGCATTCGGGTAGAGGCATTAAATGGGTTACAATAGAAATCGATTGAATCACTTTATTTTGGGCTCAAATTAGCTAAAATTTGGATTGGGTCATGACCCACTCAATTTTACTCGTTTAATCTTGATAATTTTAACATATTATTATTACTTAACACTTTTATAACTACAATTTTGAATTTTAACTCTAAAAAATAAAAAAAGTTACAAATGGACAAAAAATCCTAGAAGATATAAAATACTTTCTTTGTTCCATCTTATGTGACACTATTTTCTTTTTAGTCCGTCCCAAAAATAATGTCGTTTTACTATAATCGTAAATAATTTAACTTTAAAATTCTCATTTACCTTAATGAAATGGTTTACATGCACACAAATATTAAACTATTTTAGATCTTAAGTTTTAAAAGTCTTCCTTTTTTTCCTTAATTATCGTATCAAGTCAAAAGATACCACATAAAATGACGAAGGGAGTAGACCGTAAATAGTAATTTATACCTTCACTGGTTCTATAGCTTGCCAACATCTTCGATTGATTAGAGAAGATGAAGATGGAATTTGTTGAAGTTTGGTGGACAGAGAAGAGTGACTGTTTACTTTCCTCTTTTTACTGTTTTTAGATTTTTTGCCCCTTTTTTTTGTTGTTGTTTTATCTTGGGTTTGGATCAATCTGATTTGGGCCTTCTGTACTCTTTTTGTTTAATAATAAAGAGCAACTTTTATATATAACAAATATAAAAATTATATTTGTATGTTATAACTATAGTTTGTATAATTAGCAAATTTTATGTTTGTTATGGAGCTTTTGATTTGACTAATTCGCTACGAACATCCAATTTTATACAAATTGTTCAGTTTTGTATAAATTCATTTATACATTGTAATTTGTATAATAAGATCTGTATTTATATAATTATAAGTGTATATAACGAAAATATATGTATTTGTATTTGTATATATATTTTTCTCTCACTTTACACAAACACAAATGCATTTTATACATTTAAATGTATAAAATGGTTAATTGTATACCAAAAATGGCTAATTGTATACCGAATCAAATGACAAAAAAATGGGATGTTTGTTGTGAATTACAATTAAAATAAACTATGGCTATAGCATTTAATTTGAATTAATAGTTTGTTATTTCATACAATTTTCCCAATAATAAATGGCTCATGATCCTTTGGTTAAAAAAATAATAATTCTTTCCTTTAGTATAGGATAATACATTACATTAATGCAAATAATTTTTTTAAAAAAATGGGTTAGAAATTGCAGATTATATTGGCTCGATTGAAGATTCTTTAATAATGGGTTAAGTCTTGAATGAATTGAGACTGAACTCTCAAATTATTTTGAGCTCATTTTGACACCTCTAATTTGGGGTAATCTTTTTATTTTTTTAATTATCTTTCTAGGTAGAAACTACATAATTAGACATACTCCACTATTACTACCATATATTTGTTATTATCTATACTTTTAAAATATTACATATTTTAACACTAATTAAGAGTTTCTTATAATATATTAAGGAAGATATACATATACATATGGGTGGACATGGTGTGGAATATACCGAATTATCATATCATATCGAAATTTTTAATACCATGATTTTGATATTATGGTATACATTTTGATTTTTTAAATATTCGGTATGGTATTTGGTTTTTAGTATTTAAAAATAACATACCGAAGTATATATATATATATATATTAGTGGTATTGAAATACTAACAAATATGCACCTAATATTAGTGAAAACTAAATGTTTAGAAGTTGAAACTTTGATTATTCTATTTTGATTGAAATGTAATTGATTAACAAAAGGAGTTGTTTGTACTTTCTTTTGAATATATACTTTTACATTTGTAATGTGTTAGTATGATACAATTGAGACCTTTTTTTAATTGTCGAATCATAATACTATATTATAAGAGTATATATTAGTCGAAGTTGAACAAACTATGGTTATCGATTTACCATACCATAGAATATTGAAATCGAACCATTCCAAATTAAATTGGTATGGCAATGGTATAATGTTTTATAAACTGAAAACCGAAATTACGATATCGAACGAACCTTTCAAATACCGTACCGCACCATACCATGCTCACCCTTGCCTATATGCGTATTTTTGTTAACTTATGCACTAAAATAGAGAGAGAGACGAGCGAGATGGCGAGAGAGGCGAACGAGATTTGTTATGTATCCCAGATACATGCGAATCCACACTTGGATACAGTGTATCTAGAAAAACTTACACCTAACTTTGACCCAATGTATCCCGAAATATATGTATCTGGACATATCTTAATGTATTTGGACACACCAAAATCTGATAAGATTTGTAATATTACAAATTAAAATATATCTAATTCATTAGCTCTTAAACTGGTGAAATTTAAATAATTTTTTCTTTTTTTATTCGGTCGACGAACCGAACTCCAAATTTTAGCTGAACCTTATTAAATCACATGTTGAATCAGATCAATCCAACGGACCTAACCCATATTGATGACTTTATTCTTAACACAATAATATTAATTGAATTTCTCAATAAGTACAATTTACCATGTTTTATTTTTGTAAATTTATTTAATAAATTGTATCCTATGATTTCATGAATGATATATAATAAATCAACTCTTTTATTCTCCTGTGATTATTAATTAGTTTACCTTTTAATTTAAATATTCGAATCATATGAAATCTAGTTTACGCGTTGACCGGTTGTCCAAGTGAAAAAAATCATTTTTCAGTCTCTATATAAAGACATTTAGTTATAATTTTCTAACCTTATAAAAAAATTAAAGAAATATTCTTTAATTAGAGGTATACATATATTAGTTTATATATTTTATAATTCATTTTCTTGCTAACTATTTTTCTTTTTTGAATTTTTTATTCATTGTTCCTTAAGTGATTTAACAAAATTTATTGAAGGAAAAATGGATGAGAAACGAAAAAGATCTGATGAGACTAATTTGGATTTGTGCTTGAAAACTCCAACTCAAGATGAACCAATTAATAAAGTTCAAACATTGGAAGAAGCAATGAATTTTGAACTCAAGCATGGTCATGTAGATCCTAACGTAGATTTGAAAAAGTTGAGAAGGTTACATACATATATGATTTTTTTCATTCCATGTTGCTTTTAAAAATGTGAATTTTTTTTATCAACATTTGAAATTTTTTGATGAAAAATTTATTGAAATGATTGATTGTGCGAATTATCAATTGTTTCGATCAGATTTTCTTTTTCTAATTATATGGGAGATAATTAGATTTTACTTTATTTTTATAAGATTGGAATATATATCAGATAATTCTTTTTTTATAGATACTAAAAAATATAAATTTCTAATTGATGTTTGAAATTTTAATAAAAAGTCAATTGAAAATATTTTTAACAAACCAATGGTCAATGGATATGATCCGATTAAAGAATTTTTTCAGAAAATTGTGTTTTCTAGTTGTACGATAAATAATAGGAGTATTTTTATTTTGTTGTTATAAGATTTTATGTGTTAAAACTAGTAATTTTATTTTATTTTTTGAAATTGTCTTTATAGAATCATGTCAAACCGACTATCAGCACAAAGATCCAGGATCAGAAAGATTGAATACACAGCTGAACTGGAAAAGAAAGTCAAAGAACTAGAGGTAATAAAAATTTACATCAATTTTTAAAATTCAAATGGTACACGCGCTGACGCGCGTGCACATATATACACATGAAAATATAGAAGTTTAAGCCTGCTTGTGAAAACTCAATGGTGAATGCAATTTACTTTTAGACAACTCTAAAATTTGAAAAAATAAATACATCACAATAACAGATCGAATAACAAATTGCTAGTTACTCAAACATATTTTTTATATAATTATTTTTATGAGTATTTTTTAATTCAATTTGAACCTTGTATGCTAATGCTTAGTTTGAGATCACAAGTTTGAATTCATAATTACTCTAGGATCACAATTTTATTTTATTTTTTTAAAAAAAAAAAACAAGTCTTGCTCAAAATGATATCGCTTCAAAACTCATTAGCTAATTGAATGAGAAATTTTGTGCACACGTTTCAAGCATATAAGTGTATGATCTTACTTGGATATAAATTAAATTAATCATTTTGCTAAGTGTACCCATAATAACATATCAAGTGTAATTTCACAAGTAAAATTTTGATAAAAATAAAATATAAGTAAATTTTATTTCTATATTTGTGGTGGAATAAAAAGGTTGTTTTCGATACACTAGATTAAGTGTGCCTAATTATATATATACAAAATTTCTTTCCTACCTTTTACACATATACAAATAAAATTGATGAAGCGATGTCGAATGAATTACCCAAAGTGTATAAGAATTTGTTGGATCTTCCAATATCAATAGGTTGATTGTTCCACTATAATTAACGCTAATAATCTTGTTCATATATTGCAGGATACAATAGCTTGGGCGGGATCAGAAATAGAAAATGTTAAAGATAATAAAAAGAAGCTGATGCTGGAGAACGAAATGTTGCAAGCACAATTGGATATTGTCACTGACAAGTCTAATTTACGTATTGGTATATTATATATCTCCTCTCCTACAATTTTTTTAATTATTATTTCAAATTCTACTTATAAAGGAATTACAATATACAAATGTTAATTAAATAATAATAATAATATAATTATCATACGATAATGTCACGCTCCAAACTAGAGAGGAAGCGCGACCAGGACTCTATACCTTACTCGATTGAGCTACTACTGAGCCATAATGAAAAGGGAACAACGAGGGTCAATAAGGCCATCACAATAAGATGATTGAATCGTGGAGGTCACAAAAAAATCAATATCATAAAGAAAGAGCCAGCAAAGACAATTTAACTGATAAAGAACTACAAGTCGTCAAAGCTGCAACTAAAATCATATATTTTAATAGCTTTGTCGACTTATTGTATATATGATTTCAGTTGCAGCCTTATCGGATTGTAGTTCTTTATCGATTAACGAGTATAGG